AGGGCTCACAACACTATTCTGAAAACAAAATGATTCAAATGCCTGCTCCATCACTATTTCATCTCCATCCTGAAAGTTTGCACCATCATAAGAGATACTAAGTTGACGATGGTTTACAACAACCGTTATTATCACAACGACCCATTGCGTCCCATCCATTTGGGTGATCTGTACACTGCAAATGCGGTAAAGTCACTTTTTAAAAAGTTGGCGCCCGAAAGATTTTTTTGGCTACATAGGAAAAACCGGTTGAGCCAATGATTTATTGCTCCACTTTATGAAGCATTTTATGTCGGTTCAAAAATATGTTGTTTTCCCTCCCTAATTAAATAGATTAGAATGTTTTTTCAGTTCAGTAAAAAGAGATCATAAGTAGAATTAGTGACTATTTTGGGGACCTTATCTCATTACGACCCGGTGTTCGATGGATCGTCACATAAACCTTAGGGTTTGTTCTCAATACACTTGAATAGATCTGGGTTTGAGGTCGGTGATCAGGACTGGACGCAAGGTGTGACGTTTGTGAAAATCTTCAAAACAAAGCTGGGTCAACTGAACTGGCAAACTGCACACGATGTCGTGACTTCAGCTGACGTCTTTGTTTGCCCAAGACTCCTGAAACACAGCCGTGACCTCAGAAGGCCTTATTTGGAGCCTTTCAGTTCTTTAAAAGGTGCTGTTAGATTACCGTTCGAAACTAGTGTACTTAATGCTACTGTCTACAATATCAGTAAAAGGATGCATTGGGCCAACCAATCACAAGTGCCTCTTTGTGACAGATCTCCCACAGTGCTGACAGCGTTTTCATCAAGATAACCCACACTTACACACGCCTTTCCTTTCCTTTTCGAAAAATATTTCAAGCGTACAATTTTGAAATTCATGAGCATTCCATTTAGAAACAATGCGTCTTATCATCCATCATGTTCCTCCTACGCAGCCCTAATCTCGGGATTCTTTCTTGTCACAATAAAGCAGAAAAGGGTCAAAAAAATAGTTTTTCGATCCCACCGGGAGCAACCAACTTTTGGGATCAACTTCACCCATTCGTAAGCGGAAGGATTTAGAAGACGAACGGGTAGACAAAACGATATGGCATGAACTGATCCATAAGGATTGCATTTATTAAGCTCAAATATTCTGTCGTAGTGCGGTTTTCTCTCCAAATCAAGCAAAGGTAAAACATTTTATAAATAAGATTGTTCACCAAAGTCAACTTTCTGAAAATAAAGCTGCCGCGGCTTCTTTTTGATGAACACACAACAGTTTTTTTGAGAAAGATTGTACCCAACGCAACGCAAAGTTACGGTTACTCTTACGTCAGTGATGGAGAAAGGCTTTCGTGAATCGTTGAAAGAGGGGCACGATTTCGCCTCAAATGAACAATACCACCGTTAAACGTAACAAATTATATCTTGAAATCGTTCAGGGGATTGTGCGAAATCCAAAGTAGGTTTTGTACCCAAAATATTTTGTGTGTGCAAATGAAACGCCCGTCAGTTGTCTATTCATTTGAATGCCCAATTGATTGGAGTTTCCGTGTTTCCAAGTGATAATTCATTCTATGTATTTTAAGAAATAAATATTGTGAAAAGATTTGTTGGCTTAATATTACTAACAATTGTTTCATTTACGATCTACCGGGGAGTTGCAAAATACTGGGAATTATTCGACCTATTAGAGAACGGGTTTCTCAAATCCAAGAAAATAGTTTTATTTTGTTTTGATTATGTTGAAAACAACTACAATCTTGACAAGCTGCAACCTTAGAAAACCTACTGATTGTGCTATAAGTACTTTCTGCTGCCGTTTCAAATTTTTCTGAAGAAGTATGGAAATTTGCTTGTGACAGAACATTGCACAACATTACACTACTCTGAGCTTTATCATTAGGACGACCATTTTAACTTAGTTCGCATACCTGTCGGCACGTATTCAGCTGTTTTTGGAGTTGTCAGTCAATTGCTTTCAGAGTGATCAATAAAAACTCATACCACCAACTCAAGAGCGATTAACAGTTGTTCACGTGACAAAAATTTATATCTGCTCTAAACGTGTTAGTAATAAAACCGGTTTATTGGAGACCATCAATTGGAGTGTGTTTCGAATATACATAACTTTTTAAATTGGAGGAGAAACTTCACGGTGGACACCTCAGAATAACGGTTAAGTGGATTCAGAAAAAGCTGTTCCACTCAGCCGCAAGAAATATTCACGGTGACTTATGCGTTGCTACTTTCAAGCTAGTGATGACTGTGTAAGCTAAAGGTAATAATATCGGCGATGAAAAACACGGGAGTATGGTGATAACCCTCAGCCGCAATAGCTATTTATTTATTAGGTAAATAAGTAAGTTAGTTCGTTGGTTGGTTCATTGCCGAATGGACCAGGCATTGTTCACCCGTTTCTCCAAGTTTCAGTGGGGCATTGCGTTTTAACTGATAAACTGTCCTGGCCCTGCATACTTTGTGTGTGACTGACATTGTCCATCCACAAAATAGTGCGCCTCTTGAGTGTTCTTTTGAAACACGTTCCCTTTAACATGTGTGAGCTTTTCGACATTTTTATACTTGCACTGGAATTTTACCCACCTATTACCTAATCCGAAAGTCCTCTCAGCGTTTCGGCAGAAAACACGTTTTTCTACGAGGAATACACTAATTTGCATAACAATTCGATATTCATGAGAGACAACCGAAGCTCTCGTTTTTGATATTCTACAACTGGATGCGCTGCACACAGGCCGCCTCATGATTCGATTGGCACGATATTCGAGATATCGCAGTATATTCACATTAAGGAAACGAGAGATTCAACTGAGTCTCTCGTGAAAATCAAATCGATTTACAAATGAGTTTATTTCTCGAAAACAGTCCAATTTGGATTCAAGTAGAATATAAGGTTGACGGAAACTCGGGGACTGCGCCTACCTGATGAGCCCAAAGCAGAAGGACGAAACCGGTCGTGGGCTGTCGAAGAGTTTTCAGCAAACTTGTGAGTAGTTTCCCTTATGAAAATACACAGTTTGTTTTACCTTTTCCTGGTTGCAGTGTTCCCGCCGTCTTTATAGCAGTCTTCGTGATAAGGTCGCTGGTCCCACTGTAGTTTTCCTTCAAAATATAAGATGGGGTAAAATTAGCAGAACTTTGAAAAACGACTATTTTAAACCCCAGTAGACTTGACTCTTCTCAGACTCAACTACAATCACGTCAGGTTGACAGCTACTTCATTCCGCGATTGAAGGATTCTTCAGGGCCAGCCGAGGTTGCTACGAATACCGCACGTTGCCTTCGTCGTAAGATGTTCCTTGATATCTCCTTGCTGGATGACGAACCGTTTTATGTCTACCTCTTGTATGAATTCCACGCTAGATCCTGTGGTAATTTTCGGTAACTTTAATAGTCGTATACACAGTCGGCTGGCTCTGTACGTTTACCATTTTGCTGGGTATTTTAAACGGCCCAACCACCCCTACTTAAGTCATGACGTCTGATTTGGACTTGATATCACCTACGACGAGGCAGATGTAATGACAGCTGACAGCTTCTGCCATAACATTTTCTGTCGGTTTACTGGTTGACCATACCCACTGAAATGTGATAAAAATTCATTTGGGGAATCAGAGCTACATATCGATTTGGCGTAGGCTGTTTCCGATTTAAGTCATCTGCCAGCACAATTGGACTGCATTTTCTAGTCGACAGTACTCTAAATTTCAGGCAAGTAGAATGGGTACACGGGAGTCGTGTTGTTTGATTTGGTTGGCCAACCGAGATTTCCTGGGATTATCCGAGTCAGTGGTGTATCGTTCTAACATCCCGTCAACTGGTTTTGTACGCACATTGAATGTATCAATTCAGTCCTTCACTTCGAGGTTCATATTTTTTGTCAACTGTTTGCCTTTTCTAAAGGCGCAATGTTAGCACAAGTATTTTTGCATACAGCAGATCTGTTCGGAGCCACACCGGGCTGTTGTCATTTAAAAGTATCTTGACCCTTCGTTCATGTCCGAACGAGCGTTGTGCTACTGTTGGCCAACTTTCTCCAAACCAGACTTCCGTAGGGAGTAGATAGCATCTGTGGTATTCTCATGAAGGGAAGATGGTTCACCAGGGACAGCATGACATCAGTGTTCAACCCTGATGCCCAACTGCCGTAAAACCACGATTTATATGCAAGACTTACTGTGAAGGGAAGAAGAACATAAATAAGGTTATTGCTTGTCTACCACAGTCATTCCGAGGTGACTACACATTCCAACACTCATCCAGAAAATATGGATAGAAACTGACAACAAGAATGCCACTGACACCAGTCAGCAGTCATATTTTGCTGCAGTAAGGGCTATTGTGGTCTCAATCCTTGAAGGCGAGTGGCACCAACCGCATTCAAACATTTCATTATCTTCTTCATGTCCGTCTGCCAGGTCACAGGTGGGCTACCCATCTGTTTCTGCCTCTCCGAATTGGGTACGCAAAACGTTTGTTCGGCATACGTACTAGACGCCCTAACCAACGCAACCTATGGCATTAGACGCATTCTTCAATGGAAGTTCCCGTTGCACAATCGAAAACTCACTCCCTAATTGCTGTGTTACAGAGTCACCAAAACCACCCTCTACGAGCCATGGTTCTGAGAGAATACTGTCGAGCGCCTGAAGACGTCTCAGCTTCGCTGCTGAAACAGGACAAGTCTCACAGCCATACACTAATGCAGCCTTTACTTAGCCTGATAGACGCTCCCCTTTAGGTTCAGGAAAATACCACGTCGACGCTCTAGCAAACATGCGTTGACCCATTGGAGATAATGGAACTTCCGATATATGTAAATCGTTCCACATTGTAAAAAGCTTGTTAATTGGCTACATATCCACGAGAATGGCTTTACAATTTGTGGGTGCACAGTGCGTACCAAAGGATGGGATGACTTTGGTCAGTTTATCCAAAAATACCTACGCCTTCTCCTCTTTGAAGACGAGAACGATGTCAGCTGTATAGTTCAGATCGATAAGGTTTCATCAGAGGTTATTGGAGCACCGTAGTTTTGACGACCTTTCAGTGTTTGTACCATTATCCCATCGATTACGGCACCAAATAATAACGGAGTGAGTGGGCATTTCCGATGCACACCACTTAGTGTACGGAAGCTTTCAGAGAGCTCTCCGTGTATCTGGACGCACCAGAAAGACTGATATCATAACAAAGTTATAATATTCACAAACTTCGGGGGCATTCCTCGATGGACAAGCCCGTTGCAGAGAACAGACCGGTCTACCTGGTCGAATGCACTTTGGAGATCCAGGAATACTAAAGTTGTGGAGCCTGATGGAGTGTAAAGATTTGGTCAACGCAACGCCAACCAGGCCGGATTCGCTATTGCTCCACTTGGGCCATTTTTTCACGGCGACCAAAAGGCGTAGACATATAATTGTGGGTAGTTTAGTCCCATTTTTGCTGTACGTTACCATTGTTTGGAACGGTACTGACATTAAGTTTGACACCAGCCCCTCTGGTCATGGCAGAGATTGAGGGATACGCGTTAAAAATAAGCGTGTTGACTAACAACTTTGAGCATAAAGTTGCCTATCATAAAGTCTGGTTGCTAGAGATGTATTTCTGGATGACGTCTGCGGGATCTTTTGTCCTTGAGCCCTTGAATTACCTGTGTAGAACCTTGGAGGTTCACGTTTGGAAATCAAGCAATTTTTGAATTTTGGCTAGAGGAATGTAATGGTAAATTAGGTGAAGAATTAGACGCTACCAACAATGTTCAGACGGTTCACATTGCCTTATTTGTGCATTCATCTACAGCGAACGTTTTCCCGTCGATTTTGCAATCGCAGCCATGCTCGAAACCCTTCTTTGAATGTTTCCTGATAAACTCCACAAGACATCACAGTGGCCAAAAACGTTTTACAATAACGTCAATTTTGTGTAAATTAGAAGTTTCAGTTTTAACTCAAAAATATGCTAAATCAGCATTGACTGTATAAACGAAGATATGCTAAACAGCATTGACTGTATAAACGAAGTTATGTGCGACCTGAAAGCAATATTCACCTGGATATAGAGTGATTTAGAAAACCACAGATGAATCTGACCAGCCAACTGCTCATTATGATAAGGCAGGTGGTCATCTTCCCGAATTCCCATAATCCTTTCTCACGTCACATGATCGAGTTAATTAAACTTCAAGATGAAATAATCTTTGAAAATTAAGTTTCTGTTGAATAAAGGCAGTTAAATTTTCACACGAAACGCTCTTTTCTTGTCCGTAAACTAAGTAGGAACAAAGTTTAATGTACCGTCAATGTCTGTTGTGTTGCGGTACCTAAGAGACCGGTGGCAGCTGGTGGTGAGCTACAAGGATGGAAAACGAAACCTGGACTGCCCTAGGTTTTTATGGGTTTTCGTTTGCACAGCGTTCTTGATCGGAGTGATTTTTGTGTTCGAAGCTGTTGATCGACACTCAGAACTTTCAATTTCAAGCCAGAAGCGTTAACCGAATGCTTAGCCAGTGCTTCAAAAAAACGGCCTTCTAATTTGAAAACCTTCATTTACTCCTGTGGATTTCAGATCGGGAGATATATTTAAGGATGTTCCATACTCTCGATATCGTCTTCACTTGAATTGAATTATTTCAAGGGTTTTCTTTTCGACAGAGTGTCAAAAACATATTTCTCTGTCAGCTACAAGCTGGGCAGTCACCCGATAGGTGAGCATTTCTCAGTGCAGAACAAATTAATTTTATCGGGATTGACTTTCACGAAGAAAATTAACAGAATACCCTACATTTTAGGTGACCCAGCATCTATAGCAGTTTCCTGCTGTTGAAAGAAGCGAAGATGCCATTTGATAGACAGATAAGATAGGCAACAAAACACACTATAATAAATGTGGCGCTTGCTTTTGAATGAGAACAGAAGGAGCAAACCAAACACTGAGTATACATGTCGGC